CCTAACCCTAACCCTAACCCTAACCCTAACCCTAACCCTAACCCTAACCCTAACCCTAACCCTAACCCTAACCCTAACCCTAACCCTAACCCTAACCCTAACCCTAACCCTAACCCTAACCCTAACCCTAACCCTAACCCTAACCCTAACCCTAACCCTAACCCTAACCCTAACCCTAACCACTTGATTTTCCGTTACATCTTGTTTTTCCGTTACCTTTTATATTTTTACTGATAACTCCACAACCATCCATCGTACAGACATAAGAGTACCACCATTCAAATTGTCTCTCTGAGCTGGTTAGGGTGGGCCCATTTTTGTTAAAAAATATCAACTTTTGCATATTATGTTTTGCTCACTATTTGAATTATACATTTTATATTTTTGCTAATAACTCTACTACTATCTACTCTACAGATATAACACTATCTCTGTTTAAATTATCTTACTAACCTGCTTAGAATCTTCTTATTTTTATTACAATATATCTACTTTTGCATCTTATGTTTTACTCACTATTTGCTTTATACAGCTAACCCTAACTTTAATTCTAATTACTTAATTTTCTGTTACTTTTTTATATTTCTGCCAATAACTCTACAATCATTAATTATAGACATGTGAAACTACTACTATTCAAGTTATCTCTCTGACCTGCTTAGAATATCTCTATTTTTGTTAAAATATATTAACTTTCACATCTTATGTCAGTGTCAGTATTTGCTATATAAAATATATATATTTGCTAATAACTCTATAAAACTACTACTGTTTAAATCATCTCTCTGATCTGCTTATAATTATTTTATTTTTCTTACTATATATTCACTACTTGTAGAGAAAAAGTCCATCTAACAGAAATTACAATTTTAATTACTGTAAAAAATAATACTAATTTATTTTGAATTTTTGTTACTTCTATATTTTTGCCAATAACTCTACAATTATTAATTATGTAAATATAATACTATCATACCTTAAATTATCTCTCTAATCCAGTGCTTAAAATATTCTTATTTTTGTTACAATATATCAACTTTTAAATATTGTATTTTTGTTACTATTTGCTCTATACTTTCTGTTACATCTTCATATTTGCTAACAACTCAAAAACTATTAATTATATAACTATAACAGAACTATTATTTGAATTATGTTTCTGATCTACTTATAATAATTTTATTTTTATTACTGTATCTTAACTTATGCAGTCTTGTAACTTAGTTACTATTTAATTTATATATATATCTGCATCTGCATCTTTTATCTGCATTTTGCATCTGCATCTTGCATCTGCATCTAAATTCAATTTTATTACTGTGCTTATCGGAACTCTAATTCATCTAAATACTTATTTCAGTACTTTGTACAACTCTAGTCTACTTAAATATTTATTAAACTACTTACTAGCTCTCTAACTCTGTCTTACCCTCTTTTTTGTTGATTAATTATTTACTAACTCTGATGCCAGCTATTACTACTTTTAAACTGAAGTAGTCAGACAAATAATATAATTAAAAATTAAAAAAAAAACTTTTATTTTTAATCTTTTTATACTAACTGCAATTCTCTATCTGACTAATTAACCAGAATCTTGTTCTAAGATAACACTCTAAACTTGAAATATATAATTCACTAGAAATATAAACATTTGTCTGATATACAATCTTATTATATATATATAGTAGCTCTCTACTCTAAACTCTTTTTCTAGACCCTATCTTAGTATTTTATTATTATATTTATCTAGCTGACAATAAATATTTGTTTCCAACTGTATCTAGTTAATCTTCTAACCATTTCTTAATTTAACAGCTTCTTATTATTATAAATATAGGCTTAGATTAATCAAGCATCAGATAGTATGAAATCTCCAGAAGATGTTACATGGCCTAACTTGTGAGAATCATACATGTGAATCAGCATAATAAAAATTCTATAGAAGAAATTTTATATAGAAAAAAGTACATGAGATAAAAGATCTGGTATTGGCAACTATCTACAACTTGTAGACAAGATTGCCACTAGCTCTCAACAAGAGATTTATGCAGTGGCAGCCTTTTATGTGTACTTATAAGCATATGACTTAGTGCCTTGCAAGAACACATGTACTTTCAACAGCTCACAAGCTGAGGCTCTGGACTCTTGTAAGTGTTGTTTGTCTGTATAAGGAGTTTGTGGGTGAATTCTTACATAACTCTGAATATATAATAATAACATAATTCTTACAGATTATAGAAATCTCAGTATTTAGACTTCTAGTTTACAGATTTATATATTCTATATATAACTCTCTCTTATCAGTTGCAGGCATTAATCTACTTAGCTCTTTTGTACAACAAAAATTGACAGCAAAATTGATGGCAAAAACTAACAACCAAAATTAACAACTAAAATTAACAGCAAAATTGACAGCAAAAATTGACAGTCAAAATTGATGATGGTCAAAATTGACAGTAAAAATTGATAGTAAAAATTAATGGCCAAAATTGATGATGCCAAAATTGATAGCCAAAATTGATGACAGTCAAAATCAACAACACCAAAATTGACAGTCAAAATTGATGACAGTCAAAATCAACAACACCAAAATTGACAATGGTAAAAATTGACGACACCAAAATTGACAACAGTCAAAATTGACAGTAAAAATTGACGACACCAAAATTGACAACAGTAAAAATTGACAGCCAAAATTGACAGTGAAAATTGACAACAGTAAAAATTGACAGTAAAAATTGACGACAGCCAAAATTGATGGTAAAAATTGACAACGCCAAAATTGACAACGGTAAAAATTGACAGCCAAAATTGACGGTGAAAATTGACAACGGTAAAAATTGACGACGGCCAAAATTGATGGTAAAAATTGACAACGCCAAAATTGACAACGGTAAAAATTGACGACGCCAAATTTGACAACCAAAATTGACAACCAAAATTGACAGCAAAAATTGACAGCGAAAATTGACAGCTAAAATTTACAGCAAAAATTGATGACCAAAATTGATGCTGAAATTGCCAGCAAATATTTACAGTGAAAATTGATGATCAAAATTGATGGTGAAATTTAACAACCAAAATTGACCATAAAAATTGGCAGTCAAAACTGACTTAAGAAGCCAGTGCTGTCACAACTATACTTTCCCTTCTGCATGATGAGTGACCTGCTGAGACACTTGACCTAAACACCCAATGGCCTTTTGACTTTGTACCTGTGCTTTCTCAAACTCAGACTGATTGGGCACTTGTGTTGTTTGCCCTCTTCCTGCAGCTTTGCACTGATATGCCTTCATGGCAGTTCTGCACTGATTGTAATAGAAGACCTCTATCTGTGCAACTTTCAACCACTGCTGCATACGCCCCTGACACCGTGCATGTTTTTCCTGCTTTCTTACCAGGCTTTCTGGGTCAGAATCCTCTTCAAGATCCATTCTGCTCAGTCTTGGCCCAAGGAGTGTCAGATTGCTGTTGGGCTGGGGCCGAGGGTGAGACTGCCAGGATTGAGTTGCTATTGGAAGGTCCATGCTCTGGACCTGCTGCCTCTCTGCCTTAACAAGAGCCTGGATGTGTAACACAAGCTGAGATGTAAGCCACTTGTGGTTGGTATGCAGCTGGCTTGCAGATTGGCCCTCTTTCTCTGTGAATGAGCGCAGGACATGATGTTCAGCCATAGTGGCCTGAAGATGGCGGCTCAGCTCGCTGGAATGCACATCAACAGCCAGCAAAAAGACTGCTGGGTTGGGGGACATTACTGTGGGAACAGAATGTTGACCTTGTTCAATGGCAAGCCAGGCATCAACATTACTGGGGACTGAGGGAAGGGCCACATTCAGAGGCAAAGGTTGACCACCAGCCTCCCAACCTGCCAGGGGCAGCTCATTAATCATGTCCAGCTTAATGATGGTGAGTTCTGGCTGGTACTGCTGAAGGTAGTTAACCAGTTCTGAATGGGTGCTAGCCCAGCTTCGCAGTTTCCCTCCCTTTCCATGTGTCCAGAAGGCTGCCATGCTTGGATAGGGCAAGATCCAGTGGCTGTGGATGAAGGTCTGCTTCACAATTGTCTGCCACTCACGGGCCTGCTGAACCTCATACACGCGGACGATGATATCAAAGGACTGGTGAAAGAGGACCCGGTACTGCTTTGACTCCCAGTGTTTCCGCGGCCAGTTGCCGTTGTTCCCATCGCCGTTCCAGCCCCAGAGCCATGCAAAGAGTATCTCAATGTTCCTGACTTTCATCCTGGAGCCTGTGATGAACTGGATGTCTTCCCAAAAGTGGGAATGTCAAAAGACTTGTGAGATACCAGCACGGGTGAGTGGTATATCACCATTGCACGCGTCCTCAAGCCTAGCAGGATGGAGTGGCTGCTGGGTGATACAGTTAGCCAGGCTTCTGAAGACATCCTTCCGGAAGGCCCTCAGGCAGAGGGTCACCAGCAGCTGCAGCAGCAGTGCAGAGTGGGCAGGGTCTAGGCGGACATCCAGCATGCGGCTGAATATGTCATGGAAGAGCATGAAGTCAGACTTGGACTCAATCAGTCACTGGTACTGCGGGTGGTAGGCCATCTGTAGGGTTGGGGTGTTGAAGACCATGTGCGCCCGATATGGTGGCTTGAATGTCATGGCCATCCAGTCAAGCTTGTCAAGAAACCAAGTGTAGCCATACAGCTCCAGTGTGGATGCCATCCCAAGGCCCTCCTGAATCCTCTCCGTGTTGGAACCCTCTTGGGGTGGTTGCACCTGGTGATCAAGCCACAGGCCACTGCTGCAGCTGAGGTGGTTGCCCTGGCCTCCATACGCGCACAGGAGGCATTGAAGAAACATCATCATCACCTGAGTGTGTTTCCAGTGCACCACAGTGCGCGGCTGCAGGCTGTAGACCATCTCAAACCTGGTGCACAGCTTGTTGATGTTCCACCGCAGCCACCCCAGAAGCTGGTTGGTGTGATAGTTGAGGAAGGGCACTGGGCATTGAGGCACAACTGTGGGATGATTGGCTAGATTGCTTTCCCGGAGGATTCGGTCCATGGCCTGCAGAACAGCAGCAGTGACCCAGTACTCCTCCCAAGTCCTGTAGGACCGCTGGCAGCAGTCGGAAATGGTGACATGGCACTGTCACTTGGTGTGGATGTACGCGCGCAGCAAGGCCAGAGGGGAATGGCTGATGGCCTTTCTGATATGCTGCCAGATCCATACCAGCCCGGGATCCAGAGCCAATGTGTCCAGGTTCTCATTTGCAAACAGGGAATGCTTGCCGGCCACAAAGACCTCCTTGATGGTGTTGTAGAACTGGCAGTAGAGCAGACCCCGGCAGTGAAGTGGGGAGCACCGGTGCGGCTCTAGCGTCATGGACCCCAGATCACGCAGGAATGATAGTGGATAGAACTGCTTGCGCCAGGACTCTTCCTGTGGATGTTCATGTTCTGAATCAGGAGCCTGGGCATTGGCAACCGGTGCGCCACCTGCTGAATGTTCACCCAGGTTGCTGGTATTCTCATCATCTTCATCTTCACTGCCCTCACTGAGCTCTGGCTGGTATGCATCTTCATCTTCACTCCTGAGTGCCGGCTCCACCGACCTGTGTTGAATGTTGCTGGAGTCTGAGGCCTCAGACATCACCCTTTGCTGGACATGGCTGTGAAGTCAGCAGGACTGTTGGAGCTGGACAGCTGCTGCTGGGTGGTCATTGTTGATCCGCATCTCCATTGAATTGTCCGGTAAGCTATCAGGCTCAGATGAAGTGGGAGAAGAGATCCTTTGTGCAGCTGGTGAATCTCTCAGCCATTCACAGAAATGATCCAGGCAGCAACATCACCAGATGAATGTGCAGGGCGCGTGTGTTGGCTCCTGGTGTGACAGGAAGCTCCAGGGTGAGACCACCTCCTTGCCAATATTGTAGAAGCTGATGGTCAGATAGCGCCCGTCCACGGCCCGATTCCACATGCGAAAGAAGGCATCACGCGTGCTGGACCAGGTGGCATGCTGGGTTGAGAGCTTCAGATTCTTAGCAGTCAGAAGGAGCATGAGTCCCTGAAAGTACTGAAGCCCTGGGTCTTGGACAGTTGTCTGCACGCGCTCCCAGAGATGGTGAAGTCCTGCTGGCTGTAGTGGAAAGTGGAACTCCTGTACCTGTGGCTGCTCATGGAAAGTCTGATTGCAGCCTTCTGCCCGAGCTGCAGTGGAACTGAGCTGGACATGCGCGGCACTGGATGGCAGGTGGAGAAGTGTGGATGCGGAGTAAACATGGTGGAGGGCTGGGAGGAAGACCTTGTCTGTCCAGAGAGCATACTCCTGCTCTGTGATGATGTAGTGCTGGCGCTGGGGGCTGAAAAGCCGGGGGAAGAGAATGTAGACCTCAATCTCAGGGAATCCAACCAGTCATCCAAATGGAAGGTGAGGGATCCAGTGGACTGGTCTCCAGGACCAGCAGACCCTTTCAGTCTGCTCATCTCTCCACTGGACTAAAATGGGATCCAGGTGAAGAGAACTCTTCAGATTGCTTGTCAGGGACTGGTTGGCTTTCCATTGGAATCCCTCACGGGCCACTGCAAGACTTGAGGCCAGACCACCGGCACTATCAATGTCAATCATGGCATGCAGGGATGCTGGCATTGGGATAGTATCACCTTCCAGATCAATGGTCGCGGGACATGGAGGCACTTCCTCATGGGCTAAAGGCTCCACTGATGCGGACATCCCACTGTATAGCCTTTAGCACTGATGAACTGGCAGGATGGTGTCCCACTGTATGGGATAGGAAGACATGCTGGCGTGCTCTAAGACATCTGGACATTTCCAGCTTGCCATCTGTGAGAGAGACACTGTTGGCATGGAGAGCAGCTCTGATGCAGCATGAGCCTCAGTAGAGCACCCATGATGGGTCTGCAGCTGTGCCACCAGCTCCTGTGCAAGTGTGTTGTCTTCTTCTGTTGGTTCCACTGTATTTGTGGGCAGGAAGGGTCCATGGTCCGACCTTGGCTCTGGTGTACTGGGCCTGGACAGGCCTGAAGGCATTAGCAGTGGCACTGGATCTAGAATGTAGTTAGAGGTTTAAAATGCTTGGTCATCTTATCCTGTTGTGGACAACTGATCATTCTCACTACTGCTGGATTCTGCTGGTGATGGAGGGCTCTCGTGCTCCATTTTGTCAGACTCAGACTCAAGCAAACCCTCTTCAATCATGTCTGGTGGCTCAGAGCTTCTGCACTCAACAGGCACTGCATCAAGGGCTTCCTGTAGGTCCGCAAACACATAGGCTGAATCCTCAACAGGCTGGGAAAGACTGGCTGTGCTTTGGGGATTGCAGGTCAAGAAGGTATTCTGGAACAATGTTGATGTGCTTGCTGATGTGACTGCTTGCGGCTGCTGTTGTTGTCTTTAATATGCTTGCACTCATGCCTGAACTGCATCCCTCTCAGTTGCATACTTGTGTGGCCGCCCACAGCCCATGCTGACTGAAGTGGTTTTCACTGATGTGCTTGCTGCATGAAGAAATCACAGAGGATGCACTGGGATAACATTAACCCTGAAGTGTCTGAGCCAGAGTCTTGAGGTGGGTGAGATTTTGGCTGGGCTTACTGGGTGAAATGAACATTTGTGATAGATCAGAAATGCCACTCTCCTGATCATCCCAAGCCTATGAATCTAGTAAAAATGTCAGCCTCTTTCTTCTGCCAACTTTGAGCCTACAATTGAAGCTCTGTTTTCTCCATTGCTTTATTGCAACCACCTCAGATCATCTCTTTGGTAGTCTGAGGCTTCATCCTGGTCCCTTCTCTTCTCTTCCCTGTTCTTCCAGTTGTTGAATAGATTGCTGTTGACCATGGTAGCTCAGAGATATTCCAGTACCCGGCCGCGATCTTCCAGCACAGAGACAGAGCCACACCTCCCCAGTGCTTTCACTGTACTTCAAAGAAAAAAAGCAAGAAGGACACCAAATCAGCCCCAGTCCCCACCATTAGTGATGGTGGGAAGCAGTCGACGCACACTGTTGAACAGTTCTCTGTCAAGCAACATGCCTCTAGGTGGTGAGTAGCAGCCCTGAATCTTATGGTCCTATGTATACCATCAATTAACAGGTGGTTCTGGATAAAGGTCTTGCCCAAACCACTCCTTCCAACAAGGGTACACCATCTCCAAGTCCCATGGGTGTTCCTGCATGTACATTATACAACAGCAAGCCCAATCTGAAAAGCCAGAACCAATGGCTATCTAGCTCTCAATCAGTAACACCAGAAGAGGTTTTGGCTTCTGATGATTCAATTTCACATCAGATGAGCAACAGGCACTCAGAGGTGATCTGTCAAGAGGATAGAAAAGAAAAGGCATCTAGATTGAGCCAGAGCCCAGTCCTGGAGGACAGCTGCTTTCAGAAACAATCAAGACCCTTGCTCAGCAGCCCTCAAGTGTCAACACCAACCCAGACACCACAGAGAGAGAGAGAGACATCAGAACAATTCTCCTGCTTGACTGACAACTCTTCTGATGCTGACACTGGCTATTCTGGGAACCATCATCAACAATCAAGCACAATTGGTTCATTGGCAGCATACTCAACATTGGCTTCAGATCTGGATGTGGATCTGGATGGATGGGATCACATCAACAACTCAGTACAGAGGGGTTCAAGAGAACACTTGCTTCATAGACAGCAGAGGGAGATCAGGTGTGTGGAGAAGATGGTAGAAAGGAGAGCAAATTGCAGAAGCAGGCATTGCAGATGGCCATGCATCCAAACAAGATGGTCTGCTGAAGAGACCACAAGGCTGGTGCAGCTGTGGAAGAGGCACAGCAACAACTGGGCTTTGATCAAAGAGCTGGACAAGGATATGCCTGAGCCCAGGCTGTGGAACCATACACAGGTGGACCTTAAGGATTGGATGCAAAATATGAAGATTGGCCTTATGAGGTATGCAGTGGCCTTCTGTATGGGGCAGTCTGGTCTTGTAAACTAACATTTGACCACAGGAGAGGCAATCCAGTACCGGATGACTACTGTCAGATTCGCCTAGGTGACCGGCACCTGAAATCAATTGCACGAGGGCGGCTAAGACAACAAGAATGAGAATAGCTTCCAGGCACCCTAGCATGGTTGGACAAGTGTTATGGACCCAATGAGGTAGTTGGGGAAAGGTTTCATATGCAGCACGGCAGAAGGGAAGCAGCCTATTGAGCTGACTTAGGGAAATAGTTGTTCCAAGCTGATCAGATACTTTGCCTGTGAAGCCACTGCTGGACATGCTGCATAAAATTTGGCAATTCTGGCTTGAATTATATGCATCCATTAGCAAATCACAGTAGCAGGAAATATCATGCTGAAAACATCAGAATGAGAGTAAAAGAAGACACTGTAGCAGATTCAAGATAATACAAGGAAAGCTGAAGAGAACAGATCTATAGAAGAGAAGACATGCAAATGATAAAACCCAGACTTCTGTCACCCAATTCAGAGAATCTATCTTGCAGTCAATGTTTGCAGATGAAAACCAGCAGTCAAAATTGACAACAGCCAAAATTGACAGCCAGAATTGATGGTCAAAATTGACAGTAAAAATGGACAACGGCCAAAATTGATGACGCCAAAATTGACAGTGAAAATTGACGATGGTCAAAATTGACAACACCAAAATTGACAGTCAGAATTGACGACACCAAAATTGACAGTAAAAATTGACAACAGTCAAAATTGACGACGCCAAAATTGACAGTAAAAATTGACGATGGTCAAAATTGACAACACCAAAATTGACAGTCAGAATTGACGACACCAAAATTGACAGTAAAAATTGACAACAGTCAAAATTGACGGCCAAAATTGGTCACGGCGGTCAAAATTGACAGTGAAAATTGACAACAGTAAAAATTGACAGTAAAAATTGACGGCCAAAATTGACGACGCCAAAATTGACAGTAAAAATTGACGGTCAAAATTGACAGTAAAAATTGACAATGGTCAAAATTGACGACACCAAAATTGACGGTCAGAATTGACGACACCAAAATTGATGGTCAAAATTGACGACGGTCAAAATTGACGACGCCAAAATTGACAGTCAAAATTGACAACGCCAAAATTGATGACGCCAAAATTGACAGTAAAAATTGACGACGCCAAAATTGACAGTAAAAATTGACAATGGTCAAAATTGACGACACCAAAATTGATGGTCAGAATTGACGACACCAAAATTGATGGTCAAAATTGACAACGCCAAAATTGACAGTAAAAATTGACGACGGTCAAAATTGACGGTCAAAATTGACGACGGCAAAATTGGTCACGGCGGTCAAAATTGACGACGGCAAAATTGGTCACGGCGGTCAAAATTGACGGTCAAAATTGACGACGGTAAAAATTGACGACGCCAAAATTGACAGTCAGAATTGACAACACCAAAATTGATGGTCAAAATTGACAACGCCAAAATTGACAGTAAAAATTGACGACGGTCAAAATTGACAGCCAAAATTGACAGTAAAAATTGATGACGGTCAAAATTGACAGCCAAAATTGGTCACAGCGGTCAAAATTGACAGTGAAAATTGACAACGGTAAAAATTGACAGTAAAAATTGACAACAGTCAAAATTGACAGTAAAAATTGACGACGCCAAAATTGACAGTAAAAATTGACGAGTCAAAATTGACGACAGTAAAAATTGACGACGCCAAAATTGACGACAGTCAAAATTGACGGTAAAAATTGACGGTCAAAATTGACGGTCAAAATTGACGACGGTCAAAATTGACTGTCAAAATTGACGACGGTAAAAATTGACGTCGTCAAAATTGACGGCCAAAATTGACGACAGTCAAAATTGACGACGGTCAAAATTGACTGTCAAAATTGACGACGGTAAAAATTGACGTCGTCAAAATTGACGGCCAAAATTGGTCACGGCGGTCAAAATTGACGACGCCAAAATTGACAGTCAAAATTGACAACACCAAAATTGACGGTCAAAATTGACGACAGCCAAAATTGACAACAGCCAAAATTGGTCACGGCGGTCAAAATTGACGACGCCAAAATTGACAGTAAAAATTGACGGTGAAAATTGACGACGGTAAAAATTGACAGTAAAAATTGACAACGCCAAAATTGACAGTCAAAATTGACAACACCAAAATTGACGACGCCAAAATTGACAGTCAAAATTGACAACACCAAAATTGACGGTCAAAATTGACGACAGCCAAAATTGACGCCAGCCAAAATTGGTCACGGCGGTCAAAATTGACGACGCCAAAATTGACAGTAAAAATTGACGGTGAAAATTGACGACAGTAAAAATTGACTGTAAAAATTGACAACGGTAAAAATTGATGGTCAAATTCAGCGGCCACGACTGACAACAGTGAAACTTGCCGACCAAACTCAATGGTTAAAACACATCTTGTGCATCCGCAACAGGTTCAGCTCATTGAAAACTGGCGGTCAAAATTGACGACGATGAAAATTGATGGTAGAAATTGGTGGTCAACACTCACAGCCAATAGTCTGCGGCCTCATTCTTTGGAGGAACTGTGTTCCGGTTGATATTGGTGTTAGCCGTTGTTGGTGGCCAATGTTGGTGGTTAGGATTGATTGGGGAGAGCCAGTATCACCATAAGCAACCCAAATCAAACATGTTCAGATATTCTGCTGTGCCATGCTTAAAGACTGTGGAGCTTCAGCAGTGTCTCAAGCTCCAGGCTGGGAAAAGAGACTCAGCATCAGCATGTCATGACACATCATACACATCTCTGGGCGAGAGGATCCTCCTCCTTGGATGAAAGGCCACGGGCGCCATACCAACAGTTGATGGCATCAGAGGATATGCTGGCACACATTTGGTAGGGTGCTAATATTAGCCAGTCGCACCATCACCAGGCTGAAGGCTCATTGGCGCATCTGACTGCTGAGTATTCAGCATCAACACAACTATGGTGGGAGATATGATGGATGGCTTTCAGCTGAAATTGCTTTGATTGGACCTAACTACTGATCTATTCAACTCTGCAGAACAAATCATCTAGAACAAACAGTCATGGTTGTTCCATATATCCCTAATGATACCCAGGCATCTTGATGGAAGTGCTGCATGGTCCTTGGGTGTTTCTTTTTAAATTTCACGGCCACACGGCCATGCCGGGCCTCATACTGTATCCAGATCAATCATGTCTTGAACTATGCCAGCCTCTCTCTGCAGTGACATTGCCAGTTCATTGAAACTCTTCTGCATTGCCTGCTGGTCAAGGATGTTGCTTTCGACCTGGACATCTCTGCACACCAGATGGTAGGTGTATGTGGCCTTGTTCATCTGCCCGTAGCAGCAGATGCGTGCCTTGCCCTGGGCCTCATCCCTCTCCAACCAGCTCGGGCTCAGCAGGATAAGTCAGAAGGCACGAACACAGGTGTAGCCCATGTCTAGGATCTCCAGGGTGCTGATCAGGACGCCTGGACTGGCATCAGTCTCACCTCCAGGCAGTGGCAGGTCCTGATTGAAGGTGTTGATGCACATGTCTTGGTCCTCAACACTCATACTGCTATAGACTGCTGTGACACAGTAGCCTTGCTTCTGCAGCCACTGTGTGGAAAGTTAGCTGGGGAAGAAAACACAAGGAAAGGGGACGCGGTAACCTACCACCTCAAGCATGTGAACCACGCGGGGAAATTCTGTCAGGATAACAATCTTCTCTGGGCGCCCACAATAGTCTCTCCCCATGCCCTGCAGGATGTGTTGAATCGCATGACACTTGGAGCTGGAATTGGCCAGGGTATTGATTGCATGAATGTACGGTGCCTCCTTGTCCCCACCAGCATGCCACCTGTTCTCCATCATCTCCTTGTCGGTGAGCTTGAGCTCGCGTTGCTCGGTCTTCATGAGGTCCAGAAGGGCTGGGAAGATGGCAATGATCTGGTTTATGCGTGACTTCTTGAAAAAGGTCTGGCTGGAAAGCTCAGGTTTAGATTCTTGACTGTGCTTCTTCCATTCCTGCAGGCTTCTCATGTAGCTGTCTTTTAGTTTTTGAATTTCATGCTGCTCATGCTGCTGGAGCTCGTCTCTGACCTTGGGCTCTAGGCTGCAGAGAACATCATGATGGTGGTTGCAGGGCAGCTCCATGATGGGTTTGTTGAACCAACTTGTCTTGGTGGTGCGGTGGATCATCAGACACTTGAGCACCTGACCAAACTGGTGTGCTGCTGACTGGAACTTGATCTGTTCTGTTCTGGACAGCTGCTTCTTGCTGATCAGTAGCTGCACTCTGGCTGAGAGGGTCTTCCATTGATTGGGTTTGGCAAATTGCAGTCTGGCGTCATTACCCCATTTGTCAGAGGCCAGTATTGTCATCCAGGAGAGCATGTCTGTCAGTCCTTTATCGTACGGTGTCCCGGAGAGCAGCCAGGTGGCTGGGGCGTAGTCTTGCTTCCCTGTGGCTGTGTTGATCTCTTGAAACTGCCTGATGGTCTTGCTGTCAAAGCCCTTCTCCTGGTGGCATTCATCTCGGATCACGGCTCGCCATTGCAATTGCTGGGCATCTTGTTTCTGAATGTCATGGAGGGGTATCATCACACGGCTGGAGAGTGAGCCCGGCGTGGTCAGGAACATGTGCTGATAACTCTGCTGGGGACTCAGATCATGTTGTCTCAGTGTTGCGTGCTGTGCGGTCTGTATGAACGCGTGGCCCAAGTTGCCAACCTTTGTGGGAGTTAAGTCTCCATGGCCAATGAAGAGATTCAGTTTCAGACAGTTCTCTGAGTCACAGGGGATAGAGTTGGCCCACTCTCTCGCCCAGGGGAGAAGGAGACCTTTGGGCACTACCACCAGCATTGCACCTTGCAGTGGTTGACTCAGACGGCGTGCAGTCACCCCATCTGGAACACAGCCACACAGAATGGGGAACATATCCTGAGAGGGACATCTTAGGTGATGCTGCTTTGAACCCTCATGTCCTTCTTCTGTGTCCATGACTGCAGGGAGGTGCTTGTTGGCCATTGCAGGATCCTTATGGCACTGTTTGATGTGCAGGCAGTTGTAGATGATCCAGGCACTCAGGACAAAGTACAATATCACCTCCATG